CCCCAAAACCCCAAAACCCCAAAACCCCATGAAGATAATATTGAAGTAACAAGGGATAATAAGAATCCTGAACAATGACATAATTTAAATCTATTGATTTGGTTCATGCAAATCTTTAAAGAATCAAAGATTTACTGATAATATCACATTACTAAGATTGAAATTTATTGCACAGCGAATCAATTTTTTTATTGCTGTCAGTCAAGCATTCATGCACTGAGGAATTCTTAGATAGCTGCTGGTCCCTCTTGGGTTACCTTTTGAACAGCACTGTTGTTTATCACTGTACCATCTGGCTTTAAAACAATAAGTCTAGGGACTCCCTTGACTTCGAATTTCTTAGCGAGACTAGGTAGTCTGGAATCACCTTTTGGTAGTGCAAGCCATGGCATTTCCCCATAGTACAATTCATATTCTTCTTGAGTTTTGTCACCTGACACAAAGATAACTTCAATTTGTTTTTCTGACTCATTTGTTTCATTGTACAATTCGGCGAAGATTGGAGTGAATTCCCTGCATGGTGGGCAGTTGTGCATACTGAAGTATATACAAATGACTTTGGCATCCTTGAATCCTTCAGATGGGCTGACTTCTCCTGATTTTGAGAGTATAGGGGCAGTTCCGAATAGTTCTTCCATTTGAGCGCTAAATTAATTTAAAATTATAATCAAGAAGCCCTAAAATGAATCATTGAAATAACTACTTTAAATTTAATTAATACTTTTATTAATCTAATTTTATTATATAGTTTAATCGTTTATTAGTCAATCAGAGTCGTCATTATGATTTTTTAGTCCTCTTATTTGATTTATATCAAAGTGACTAAGTTTAGCCCCATCTGTATGGCCTCGGATTTATCTAACCATTTCTTTGACCCACGGTTTCAATTGCTTAACGTTTTTATGTTCGTCATATTAGAATGTTACTCTCCATTGCTTATTAACAGCATATTTCTTTTCGTTATCTTTGACCATTTCCTTAAACTATTATAGCTTCTATATTTTTTATTGATGCTTTACAGCTTGTTCATCCATTATTTTGACTTAATCAGGAGTTAAGAATATGTTTTTACGACCAGCTTGTTTATTAAAATAGAGAAGTTCATTCTTGTTTACAAACAATTTATCATGCACGTCAAGCATAGAAAAATCCATTTAATCTACATTGTAAGGTAATTTTTTCTAAGTAAATCTTGCTGTCGGACTAAAGGCACTAAATACCTGATTCCCTCTATTATTAGCAATGACTCTTTTGTAATCTGTATTTATCTCATTTTATAGCTCAGATTCAGGAATCTTTCGGCTAATGTTATTATTATCATTAAATCTATACTTTATTTGCTAGTTTTTGCATTCCTTTATATATACTCTTGTTATATCTCCTTATGAAATCTCTTTTAGCCCTAAAATAGCTCTTGGGGAAACATCATTTTTCTTAGCTCTATTTAAAGCTTAAATGATTGCATTATCAGTAGCATGATTAGACGTTTAGATAGATTTAGAAGTAATTCTTGATCTAAATGTGTTTTCTTATCCCGGCAGCAATTATATTCTAAATGATTCAAAGTTGTTTCCACCGCTCTTATGTGTCCTGGAAGTAGGGATTATTTCGTTTCTACCTTGATGGTCATCATTATCTTCATTAATATTATAACCTTGGCATGATATATTCTAATTATCTACTTGTATGTAGTTGTTGAAATCTTCGGGTGATTACTATCCACTATAATACTATCTTTCTTGCTTGTTTTTAATTTCCAGTGAATTTTCTTTTGACATTATAAAGTCTGAGAGATTATAAACAGGTTTATATTCTGGAGGCGGGGAAATTTAGGTAATATCTACTGAGTTTTCAGCAGTTGATATATTTTTATAAGCATTAGAGTTTTAACTACTAATCTTTAGACTCTATTGAATTTTGCTCATTGCATTCTTCCTTGTCTCTCTTAGATTCTTTTCTGTGGTCCAACGAAGTGCATTGTTGTTATATTTTTGCTCTCTCACTCTCTCTATCTAAAAATATATTAAAACTGATAATCTATCAAAAATTTATTTACCATATGTTACATTGGAGATTGACCACTTAATAAATATCCCTTCTCATCTCTCTCTTCAAGATAGGCAATAAAGTTCTAATTTGGCTTAATTTTCTTCACTGGACTCTTTACAATTTGATTGAGTCTAGACTGATTAACAGCAGTCAAAGGATGAATAGTTTTCTTTTGGTTGCTGAAACCAAAAATGTTGTTATTATTGTTCATCAAGAAGTCATTGTTGTCAGGACCTCCACTAAATGGAGTCATGTTACTAAATGACATCATAGATTACTTCTCAAAATTTTAGTTAAAGTGACTCGTCTTTGGAGGGAGTTGTGTAGTATTACTTAGACTAAGCATTTCACCCAACTTCAATTTTAACTTCCTTGGAGAGCCCTATTAGCTACTCCGATCACCTTAATATATTTGAGATTTCTTAAGACTGTTAAAGCTGAATGCCCCACTAAGATTAGCCTCATCTTAAACACTTTGATTATTGAAATTAGAAGCAGTTTTTAATTAAGTCTAGCGATCCATTTAAGACTGGTTGGTAAAAGTGGATTTAGTTTTCATGATGATATTAGGTTAATTATTTTATTTAGGAACAATATAATTAATTTGCATTTAACAAATTCATATAAAATAAAATGAATAATTAGCACTTAGGAAACAACAGCAATAATCCAGTACACTCACTGAAACTACCTGCCTAGACTAATGTAAGTGCAGCTATAGTTTAAGCTTATACGATGAAATAGGATCAGGAAATATCAGATAATGAAGATAAAAAGAACAAGAGATCTCCTAATGATATTAATATGATAAAGTCCATTAAGTAGCTTGAGACCACAGAATTAGACCTTCATTCACCCAGATTTTAGAAGGCCTGTGTCAGTCTTGGAATTCCCCTTAGAGATTGCGTTAAAAAGTATGAAAATTAAGAAGTATATACTTTTTTAGGAGAAAAGAACATTTTATGGAGAAGGGCCTAGCAGATGATATAGTTGAGCTGAGACTCAAGCATTTCTAAAACAGATAAATCGACCTTCTTAATCGTATCCTAGAAGAACGAAGAAAATTAAGTAAGAAAAATACTTTAAATATTCATAATCTTTTAATAATTACAGAGAACAGGGAGATATTACATGATAAACTATAAATTTAAACAAATCAGAATAAGACTTAAGGGCAGTCGTTTTACTCGCCTCAAAACAATCACACAGCCAATCCCAATAGCAGAGCTGCTCAGCTATATGGAAGTGTCAAATCACCAATGGGGAAAATAGGTATGACATCTTAAAGTCATCTTGATAACAAGAGATTTGCTTCCACTTCAAAAATGTAATTATCTGATTCTTAGTAATATCATAGATTTAACTCACCTCCTAACTTAAGAGGTTCCTTTGATGATTAATGGAGCTTCGAGCAAGATAAAATCTAGAAACTTAAGTCAAAGAAAGTATTTAAGGCCTAGATGATTATTGATCTTGAACATTTAAAACTAATGAAAGATCGCTAATATGAATCAAGACTTAAAGAAATGGAAAAGAAGTTTAAAGAAGAGGAAATGTTCAGAAAAGAGCTTAAAGATAAGCATGAAATGAAATTAACTTCTGTAAAAGGGAAGAATGAGCAGATCTAAAAAGAGTTAGAATACTAATCAAGGATTTTGCTTGAAAGAGCTTAGAAAGACATGAGATCTAAACAGGAGAAGCATGACATGCTTGAAAGATAGAGATTTGAAGAACTTAAAAGAAGAGAGGAGGAGTTTGAAAGAAAAAGATAGAAAATTGAACAAATGAAGAGAGATTAAGAATAAGAAGACTTAAGAGCTGTAGAAACGAATCTATAGCAATTTGAATACAAAATCAAAGAATCCTAGGATAAACACGCTTATCAGTTGCAAAGAGTCATAAGTGAGGCTAGATTGAGAAATACTATTCAAAGCGAGAAGGTAAATAAATGGAAAGAAGATTAACAAAGATAAGAGTTAGAAGAACTTCATTAGGTTTATAAGAATGAGGAAAAATATATGAAAAAAATGTAAAAGATAGCTAAAAGCACATAGGATCTTCACCAAAAAATAAGAGAGAAAAAGCTTATGAAGTAAGAGAAGCAGAACCATAATAAGAAAGTCGAGGATGGAGAAATTGAATGCAAATTAAAAGCAATAATGCAGAAATTCAAGCATGCTGAGGAGAATGTGGAACAAATAAGAGTACTTATAAACAATTTTTCATCATTATTTTTATAGAAAGAAAAAGAGCATGATATTGCATTAAAGCATGAACTGAGAAGACTAAAGGAAGAAGATCGAAAGAAAGAGAGAGAAAGATAGAAGAGACTTGATGTAAGAGACAATATCTTTAAATTATTCTTATTAGAATCAAAGAAAGAGAAAAATACTGAAAAAGACAAGAGAAACTCAATCTCAAATTGAATTCTATAAGATAAGTGAATAAGAGCTGTAGAAAAAGAGAGTTCAGGAAACAGTTAAGACCATGATTGATCTTAAAAACATGTTTTCAACTGTTTAAACTGTTTTACAAGCTAAGAATTTGCCGATTAAAGAAAAATCTAAGATTTTAAGAGATCACTCTCTAGAAATTAAGCCTCAGTTTATTGAGAAAAAGAAGAAAAAGGATGAAAACGACTTGAAATGAGTTTATTTATATGGGAAAGGCCAGAAACTGATATTTTCATACTCATATTTAGCATTTCTTAACTTTTCAGTAATTATTCATTCATGGGGTTTTGGGGTTTTGGGGTTTTGGGGTTTTGGGG